TCCATCCATCCGCCCGCCCGCCCGCCCGCCCGCTCGCGCTCAAGCTCTTGATCGACCTTGTTTCTGCATGCATGCACACCGCATACATTCGCTCATCCACTCCTCCATCCATCCATCCATCCATCCACCTTCACGACATTTTCGCCTTCCCTTCGCAGCACCTCTGACCCTCTTCATACATCCATCTCGCAGACCCTCAAGACTGCTCGTATCCATACGACACTAGCACGAATCGGCCTTTGCGCAGATGCTCACTCTGCGCATTCGTAACTCGAACCATCCACACCACCACCACCACCACCTCTTTTTGCACCTTTGAGCAGAGTACACCGCAACACGCATCGAAGGTGAGGCAGCAGGCTGGAGGAGAAAGGCCAGGCAGGCTTAAAAGCTGATTGAAGCTCTTCTCGAAGTGACAGAGACATTTGAACCTGTAGTCGCTGTCGCACTTGCACTCGCTTTCCCAGCCGCATTAACAGTTACAACTTCATTCACAGTCGCAGTCGCAGTCGCACTCACCTTCACCTTCACATCCCCGCTCACGCTCGCACAATGAGTGGAGAGGCGAGAATGGACGAGGATTTGGATGCGAACCAGCAGCTCGACGCCAACAGCACTACGGGGGATGTGTCCGAGTCGTTCTATCATAGAGCGAACATCACCGCATCCACCTCGGGAGACGTCACATCTTCTTCTGGTGATACCAGCAGCTCTCTTGGACCAGTGCCTCTCACCGTCACCTCGTGGCTCGAAAAAATCGCCTCTTACGAAAGCAGACACATGGCACATGTTGTGCAAGGCTGGCATACTGTACAATTATCGCAGAGCTCTGAATGGAGACGCTTCAGCAAAAGCCTACTCAATCTCTTGGGAAGCATTGATATCGAGATGGATGACCCCGACGCACCTCACTTCATGAGGTCTTTCCTCCAGGGCCAGAATACAATCCAGCATCTCAAGCAGCGAGTCGAGATGGGCGCTAATTGGGAACGCAGACGACACAAGCCACTCGATGATCCAGCAGTCGAGGCCCCTTTGCTCATCATCCTCAAGGGGTTGCGCAGTCATACAGGCATGCGCTTCGATGCCAGCAATGACCATCAACACACAGATGCCATTTCGCACTTGGAGCACAGCTTTTTTACTGCAAAGTTTGCTGGCCTTCGTCATGTCCGTCTTGCTCAATATCTCGCAACTTATGAAGCAGCTTTCACTGAAGAGCGTCGCCGCATGGTTGCAGGTTTGCCAGAAGACATTTTGGAAGAATCAGGACGGCATCCATTGCCTCACTCTCGCTCTCTTGCCATATTGCAGAGCAGCGGTACAGGCAAGTCTCGCTTGGTCAACGAATTGGGAAACCTTGCTCAAGACATCCCGTCGAGCGACAAAGCTTCGACAGTTCACCTTGTCTTTACCCTCTGCTTTCGCAAGCCCAATGAGGTCGGATTTCCCTTAGGCGATGCCTCCTATTACGACTGGCTCTGCGATCCGGAATTTGGATCGCGCCTGATCAATGATGGCATGGATTGCCGCCTTGTCTTCAAGATTCGACTCATTGCGCTGTTGAATGCCATCTACGAGCAAAGCGCTCGTCTCATCACCGGGGCACGGGTCTCTACGATTCAAGCCCTCCAAGCACTTTGGAGATCTCACACTGCGCCTAGCAGGGACACCTTTGAGGGCATGCGTCACGACGCCCATCACAATTGCCAGCTATATACTGACATTCTTGATCAGGCGTCAACGTCATGGGCTTCAATGACCGCGAATCTCAATCTGGGGTCAGTGAAGAGCCGCATTCACGCTTTGCTCAAGCAAGTGGGGAAATCTGCTTTTCATCTACGTGCAGCGCTGGATCGCTTCGGCTCAGACAATGTCTGGTTCAACATCGCTTTGGACGAGGTTGCTACGCTTGAGCCCGCAGTACTCAAGCGTGAGAGGTCCTTCTTGTGGATTGAGGACCTGCGCTCCATCTTTTGCCCAGCAGCCAAGAGCACCCAATTGCCACCTCGATTTTGGCTGCTGCTCCTCGGTACCAATGCTTGTTTTCAGGCACTAAACCCCGCTGTAGCAGCCGCGGGGTCGAGCCGCGTCAACAAAGGATACCTGCGCCATCATCATCCCTTCACCATGGCTGCTCGAAACGTCCATCTAGATGCAAATCCTGAGCTCCTCGACGCGATCGAAAGTGCGCCACCCATCAAAGCATGTCAAGTCCACGTATTGGCATTTTTTGGTCGACCCCTTTGGCACGCCATGATCAGCTACGACGAACAGGATCCTTTGAATGGAGAACCTGATATCGAAAATTTGGGAGATGCCGTGAACAGCTTTGTGCTCAACAAAGTCCTCAAGACCGTCGATTCAGGCGTGGACCTCCAACCAGCAAACCTCACCGAAGCCCAATGCTTTGCGCTACTCAGTCAGAGGATGGAGCTTGATGATGGTGCGAGTATCGCACAGACAGACTCTAGGCTGCCTGGGAGTGCAACTCAGTTCCACAAGACTCAGATCAATGAGCATCTTAGGATCCTCGATGATATGAACGCTGCAGGGAACGCCATCAAGACATACACAATGTGCGAGCCCCTGGTCTCTGCCATAGTGGCCATTGCCATGTCGAGGGATCTGACAGCTCAAGCAGCAGTGTGGAAAACATGTTGGACACACCTCCACTCTCTTATCACCACACGGGCCATCATTGACCAAGGTGCCTATGGCGAGGTCACTGCACAAGGGCTAATCTGCATTTGCAAAGATGCAGCCCCTCGACCAGATCCTGTCAGACTTGGTCTGTCTGAGCATGAGCAGCCAGATGCCTGCAGCCCCATCAACCAGTTTGTCCAGGCCAGCAATTTTCTCCGCTCCCTCTTGAGCACCATCAACATGAGTGCTGGGAGTACAAGGGTGTTCAACAACTTGCTTGCAGACATGGAAGATTGTTGGGTCAACTTCACTCGCTTCTCAAGAGGGCAAAGAAGATGGCAAGAGATCTTTCCGTTTGAGCTCAAGGTAGCTTGGACCAGGATGACTGCTATCATAGGTGCCACAGGACAAGCAGACTGGGACCTGCTCATTCCTGTGTACTGCAGAGACTTGACAACACCCTTGAAGCAAAACTTCACATTCATCATTGTGCAAGTCAAGTCAAGAAAGGATCCTGTCAAGTCTTGCCACCCAGTCAGTCAGCCATGGGCTTACCAGGGTGCTAAGGCTCCCATTTCCATCGTGCTCAACCTTGGCACGAGTGTTGCTGGTCAAGAAGAGGTCTTTGCGCGTCGCTACCCACCTGCTGGAGACAGGCCAAAAACGCGCAAATGCAGCTCCCATGAGCCGTGGTATCATGAGCTGTATACAGTTGGCTATCACCCGCAGAATCACCCAGGACTGCGCCTGCTTGGCGCTGCAGCTGAAGACTTTAACCTGACAAAGTACTTTCGACAGCCTCATCATGTGGAAGGGCGCGAACAGGACTCTGCTCAAGGTCGCGGCTGGCATGCACAAAGAGACCTCGATGAAGTGAAGAGGCCACGCAGGCAAGCTGAATCCTCGCGCAAAAGAGCCTGCACGATGTAAAACGATGGAAGATGATGCTCGGATGGATAGATGCCAAATGGGTCGTGTTATGAATAACCGGACCAACCCCGTGTCTCTCCCTCTTCTCCCCTGCACCACCATCGAGCACTGGGAGCAAGCCAGTCAAGCTCGAGTGCGCAACTTGCTAGTTTCAACACCACACTTGTCTTAGCCGTCGAGCAGTACATGACGTTCGACTGCTTGGAAATCCCAAGAGTAGAACATCAGCCTTGACTTGACCAATTCTGTGCAGTTCAGTATTGAAGTCGACGCTCCAGCACAAGCTGCTCTGCACCGCGTCCGATCCAGAATGTTCCCCCCTGCCCCCTTCCCCTTTCCCTTTGATCAGCCCTGACCCAACGTCCTCATTCAGCATTCGCATCAAGACGTAAAGCAGTAATGAATCGAAGAGCCATCATTTCTCCTCGTGATGCCTCCCGTCGAATCCGCCATTCAATCGACGCCGCCCCATTGCAGGAGAAATCGACTCGCAGGAAATCTCAGCAGCGCGCGCATCATCCGTCATCTTTCTCTCTTTTCTTTCTGGGAAGAAAAAAAGTCAAGCTTGCCTTGTGCAGTAGTCTGGTCCTTGCCAAAGGGACGCTAGAACATCCCGAATCGATCGTCAACATGAGCCAGTGACAGTGACAGTGACAGTGACAGTGACAGCGATCCAGTCTTCTGCGTGCGTGCGCCTACCTCCTAAGCCGTCCTCGCCCATTCCTGGCCGGGCGCAGACTCAGCGCAGCGCTACAAGTGCAAGCAAGTGCATGTAGCGCCAAAAAAGCTTTCCACTCGCAATCCTATCGAAGATGCAATTGCACCAACACCCCGGACCAGGCATGCGTTGCGTCAGAGAGAGGGTCCCAAATGAGCACGCGTGGGCCTCTTCGCAGTATGAAATGGGTTGCATCGTAAGTGCGGGGTGATGGGGGATATGCTTGTACAAATGTTGACCAGTGCAGGAGTACGAATGATCTGGTCGAGCAGGCCGTCGAGACGCCGTCGACAGGAACGCATCGAGAGCTCTCTCCTGCGCCTCTCGCCGCCCGCCAGCGCACGTCAAGTAGTGGGAGCCCAGAGCCGGACGATAAAGTCGTCGGCAAGCGTCGCGAGAGTTGTTCCATGCTCGCTGTCGCTCGTGAAAGCTACAGCGTTGATTTCCGCATTGGACAAGGGCGATCTCAGGACGGCAGGTCGCGCATTAGGCTCAGCCATGGCAGCCTTGATGTCCCAGAGCGTCGCATCGCCATTCCTGCAGCCCAGGGCTAGCGTTTGTTGATCCGGCGCCAACGCCAGACGGGCGTAGAGCGTGTTGCCCTTGTGCGATGGATGCGCGAAGGAGGTGATGCCCATGGTCGAAATGGCGGAATTCGCTAGGCCGGCAATGGAGAGAGCATGAATGCTGGCAAAGAGAGACCGAATTGGGTCAGAATGGCAAGCGTTTGCGCAGCGTCTGAGCGCCACTCACTTTCCATCTGTGCTGGCTGCAAAGAGGTCCGTATCGCTAGCTACAAGGGACGAGATGCCATGCGAACTGAATCGAAAGGAACCGCACGTCAGCAGAAGCCCCAGAGACATGATTGCACATGGGCCAATCTCACCTCTTGACGCAACCGTGCTGACGAGCAGATACGTCGACGCTGCTAGCGCACGGCCTCGTCTCGCCATCCTTTCGCTCAGCGGCTCTGCTGCGCTTCTTGCCGCGCGCGCCGCTGCTCTTTGCCAAATTTGTGACGTCCGCAAGTGCTCCTCTGCTCGATGCGTCAAAGTCAACTGCAGCGCATTCCTCTCCGACGTGACGCAAATCCCACATCTTGACGACACCATCTGCGCACCCCGCCGACGCGATGGCGTGCTGACCTCGTGTGGGTAGATAGACCAAGCTCATGACTCCTTTGGCAGCTGTGCTAGTCCCTCGTGCTGCTCGTTTGCCGCGCATCGAGACGGCGCTCGGATGAGCGCAGTCGATGCGCAGCACTGGTTGGGTTGCATCTGCACTGCCGGACTCGTGCACCCGATCGTCGTAGACGAGGACACTTCCGTCTCTGCCGGCGCTAGAAAATAGCGATCCTGAAGCAGACGTCGGATCCCACGCTACGCTGCGCGGAGATCCAGAGTGTCCTGCAAAGGTACCGGTGCAAAGCTGCGAGAAAGTCGTGTCAGTGGACGAATTTGGCGGCGCTATTTCCCGACTCTACTCACTCCGGTCTCGGCATCCCAAATCTTGACAAAGTAGTCGCTGCCACCGCTCAAGATACGCCTATCATCGTCTCGCCAGGCCAAATCGAAGGTGGATCCGCGATGCGCGTTCCACACCAACTGGCGCTGCCCGCTGGTGTCGGCACAATCCACGAGCACCAGGTTACCGCTGTTGGTGCCAGAGGCCAGCCAGCGAGACTCATTGCCTGACGGGAAGCGAGCCGAGTAGCTGAAGGAGCCGCAGAGCGGAAGTTCGGGACCTGCATCCTCGGTGATGGGGTCGAGGCAAAAGTGAGCCTTGGGCGCAAAGGAGTCGAGATAGGAGGTGCGTGGGACTGCGTGGGATTGTGGGATCAGATCAGAAGGCAGACCAGCGCTATGCGACCCTCGTACACTCACCGACGCCTCGACCGGCTGCAAAAATGGCGCATCTAGGCATTGCCGATCTCATGCTCATCCATGCCGAGCCTACATCTCTCTGAATGGAGAGTGCTCTAAGCGCGCAGGGTAGCTGAATGCTGGCATTCGGCGAGGCTACACGAAAAGGGTTTTGTCGCGCCACTTTTCTCAAGGGAGAGCTGCAGAATGGATCATCATCGCGATCCGAGCTAGAGTCGCTATCCGACAGCGTGTCGAGGGTGGGACAGCGCCGGGACATGGATGTGGATGAGAGAGCGTGAGGGGTATTGTGCGCACTGTCGTCTGTGCGTCGACTGCGCTTTGTTCCTCTTCTACCGCTCGTGCGTGCAGCTGTCCTGGCAGGAGATGCGTCTGTTGTGTTGCTGACCGCCTCTGCCGATCGCCGCATGTTCGCATGGACAGGTAGAAAGAATCTGGCAGCGCGAGAAGGCGTGACTGTTCCCTTGACGATGAACGCGCTGGTGCGAGCAGGTGGCGGTGTGCGCGCGGTTGCGATTGCGTTTTCGTTTGCCCTGTTGCCGCCATCGTCCCGCACCTGCACACGATCTCGCCTGGATGCGGCAGGCGATGCTTGCAAGAATGAAATGGGCGATGAGCCAAAGCCGAATAAGCTACGCCCGACATTCTGAAGCTGCTCCTCCTGCTCCTGCTCCTCGTCATCGTCATCGTCGTCCGCGCTGTCATCCGAGTGCACTGGAAGCAATGCGTTGCGCGCGATTGTGGGCTTGGAGCTGTTCAGCAAAGGCGAGCAAGCGCTGCTACTGCTCGCCCTGTGACTGGTCGCACTGGTGCTGGGCGTAGCGAGTGCGGGGCTAGAGTCGAGCAGATCCGGGTAGCGCCGCTTGTTTGGGGATGCCTGGCTGCTTGACTCGCATCGAGGCTGGGATGAGGAAGCGCGGTCATCGTGGTGCATTGTTGCTAGACAGGCAAATGCGTGCAGCGGTGGCCGGTGATTGTGGTGATTGTGGTGCAGCCTGGGTGAGCATGAGGATGAGGATGTGGATGTGGATGTGGATGGGAGTGGGGTGAATGCACGGCGTGGGTGAGGTATGAAGAGGCCTCACCATCTCCAACGACCCAAAAGACTTGTCAGGTAGGCACTCCGACTCTGATTTCACATCGATTCATCAAATAGACTCACGACTATACAAGTAGCGTGCACGCTTCCCAATTTGATTCAGACTTTGTGATTTCATTCGACATGGACAGCTTCGTGATTTTGATTATTGTGGTTGCATTTTCCATTTTCCAACATCGCGCTTGTTCTTGAATCTTGAATGCTGCGCCTGGCCACCCGGCGGCGCGCTAAGCTAAAGCCACGCAAACCATCCAACACGCGCACGCGCCGCGCCGCTTTACGCGTCGAAGTGTATATCTATCTACGCGTCAAGCCGCGTAGCGTGTGATGATTGATGTCTTCGCGCACACGTGACGCTCATGCGGTACCGCACCGGTGAATGTCAAAGATGGATTCGTGATTATCAAGCTCAAGTCGCGAGTCACGAGTCTTGAACTTGCGAGCAAAGCGCAACTAACTGCCTTCGCTTGCATTCCTCACTCGCGACCAGCAACCAGCCAAGCGACCACACTGAGCCCCCCCTTCCCCATGTCCACAAGCTGCAAGTCCTGCTCATCATGACGCTCAACCCTTTTTCGCACCTTCCGGATTCCGTCGATCGCGTCTTTTCCTCTGCCTGCAGCGTCCTCTCCTTCTCCCCATCCGGTCTAAGCAAGGGCCACTATCTCGCCGTAGGCCGCACCGATGGTTTCGTCGTCATTTACGATTTGGAGACGCGATGCGCCGTCAGAATACTCGAGGGTCACGTCAAGGCAGTCACCGCACTGGCTTGGAGCGGAAAGGAGAGAGTGAGGGCGATGGGTGGCAAGGGGACAGCTGCGGCGGGAGGAGGTAGGATGCTGGCGAGCGCATCGCTGGACGGCATGTGCCTCGTGTGGGACCTGTCTATGCTATCCAGCACGACGGTGGAGCAGCAGCAGCGACAGGATCATGCGCATACACACATATCCAGCCACTCTTTGCCTCCCTGCGGTGCCTATGCCCGCTACAGGGTCAGGCTGGATGCGCCCCTCATCGGCGTCGAGTTTCAGTACGGCGATACGTGAGTGTGCGCGCGTGCGCATGCAAGCAGCAGGGTGGGGGGGAGCATGATTGCGATGCTCATTGTCTTGCGCTTCTCCCACGCATCGCAGAAACACTCTCTTGCTGACGCTCGAGACGCAACAAGCCGTCATCGTTGATCTGGGCGTGCGGCAACGAGGCCTTGACAGGCACGCCGATTCACGCTGCACTTGGCAAGCCGAAGAGGTTATGGAGAAGCGCATCGCTTTGGAATCGCATTTTGATGCGAGCGAGTGGGTAGGCAAGGCGAGAATGTGTGCATGTATGCGCTTCAACGTTGCACCTCTGACACATTCGCTTGGCTCCTGACTCGCGCTAGCGGAGGCATCGCATCGGCTGCTTTTCATCCCTCGGGCGAGTACCTGCTCGCAGGAACAACGCGGGGTCTCCTTCTCTTCTTTGCTCTGCGCACGCTCAACGTCGACGAGTACAGCGAGCGCTTGGCAAATGTGCTCGCGAATGAAGATGCACCCATTCGCGAGGTGCCTGCGAGGATGGATGTGGAGCTGGTGAGCAGGGTGAATGTTGGGGGCGGAGCAGTGCGGCAGATGCGGTGGGGCAAGAGTGGAAGGTGAGCCTCACGCCTGCCCACAATGCTGCCTCTCGCGCCCGCGTCTGATATTGCGCTCCGTCGCACAGAAACGTCGTTCTCAACTCCAACGACCGAAGCATTCGCGTCTTTGCACTGACCTTTAACAGCGTAGATGGCGCGTCGAATGGACATCCAGTCGCTAATGGAGCAGCCACGCCAAACGGGGAGCCAGCGCCAGAACAACTCGCGCACTCCCCCTCGCACTCTCACACTCGCACTCTACCTCAATTGACGCCGACGCACCGTTTTCAAGATCTGGTCAATCGCACGCCTTGGTCTGGCATCGGATTTTCGGCCGACGGAGAGTACATTTTCGCAGGTGCTGCTCACGTCCAGGCGCACAATATCTACATCTGGGACAGAGGTCTTGGAGCGCTGGAAAAGGTCCTCGAGGGCCCAAGAGACAGCTTGATGGACGTCGATGTGAGTAGCTGGAGGGACGAGCGGAGAGCAGCTCAAAGTTTGATGAACCCCTGGCATCTCTCCCAGTGGCACCCCACTCGGCCACTGCTTGCCTCGGCCTCGGCTGGTGCGGGCAGCGTCAACTTGTGGTTCACACCCGGCGCAGAAATTTGGTCTGCCTATGCTCCTGGCTTCGAAGAGCTGGAAGAAAACGTCGAGTACGAAGAGCGCGAGGACGAATTCGATGTGGTGAGTGGCATCGAGACGATTCGGAGCGCTGATTTACGCTCATGGCTCTGGTGTGCGTCCAGGAAGATGAACTGGCAGCGACGAGGAGGAAGTTGGATGAGGAGGAGGTGCTCGTAGATATTCTAGGCAGTGCACACGACCTCCGGGCTCCCGTGCAACCGCGTGTTGTGCACAGCACAGGTTTTGGCCAGGTGTCCTCTGGCGCCGACTCCATCGAAAAAGTCATCTACGTCGCACCCGATCCAGACGACGATCCCAACTTCGTCTTGCCCGTCGACCTGGCAGCCGATCTCGACAGCATGTTGGCGGAAGACGACGATGATTGAGCCGATGCGCGGCGCTGATGATGGCTATTTTTCACCGCATCACCGCTCCTCCACCTCGTCTCTCGGGTCCCGATACTTCTTGAGCGGATCAAGAGGAAGATCAGCGATGCACGGGGCGACCAGGAGCTCTGCGGAGATGAAGCCTCGAAGAGTGGGCACGGCCACGCCAAAGTAGACCAAAGCGTAAGCAAAGCACATGAGCGTAAAGACGACGCGTATGGCCAAGCTGTCGAGGACCAACGCCAGCCTTCCTACACCGATGATGAGACTGGCGAGCGGAAAAGTGGCGGCCCAGAATCCCAGGTTGAATTTGAGCCTCTCTTGCGTCGCTTCTCTGAACACGATGGCGATGGCCAAAAGGCAAAACCAGGCGCCCAGTCCGACGAGGTGCAGCGCACCCACGAGACCCGCTCCGTAGAGAGCTTGGGCGACGCCGTACGTCAAGAGCGGCACGCCGTTGCCGTGTCCTGTACCCGGCACCGGCAGCGCGAGACTGGAAATGACTGGGAACAGGCGCAAGGCAGCTTGACCGAGATGTAGCAGTGCTTCGGCACCTTGACCGCA